TAAAAAGGAAAAGGAAAAAAAAAAAAAAAAAAACACGAAAAAAAAAAAAAGGCCACCTTTGTAGGCCTATACTTCAACGTTTTAACTTTAACCCACCGCTAGATGTCTCCACGCTCCACCATTTGAAATGTAATAAGAAATCCAGCGGCCCGAAACATTTTTCACCCCAAGACAAATTGTATAATTGTATCAATCGTCGCTGAATTTCTCATTTGTGCAGACAAAATACGCGGTTTAGTGTTGTTTTTTTTGTTTTGTTTTTTTTTGTTTATTTTTGCAATCTTATTTTCACATATATTTGTACTAAAAAATAAACAGATTAAAGAAAAAAAAAAACCTAAAAAAAAACCCAACAACAACTAAAAGGAAGACACGTGAAAGCAACTACTCCCATTATTATTCGTGTAGTGACGCCCATGTCAAACTTGCGGGCAGCCGTTGGGACGTCCAATAATTCTGCTTGTACAGACGTCTTCCGATAACTGTTGAAACGGAAAGGGAGGGTGGGGGGGGGGGTCAGAGGCCGATGAAATTTAGTTGGGGCACTGATTGAAATCCCGTTCATTTGTGCTATCACGCAGTTCATTGTTGCTGGAGAAGTGGTGAAACAGTTGATTGTTGCAGGAGACGTTGTGAAACAGTTGATTGTTGCAGGAGAGGTTGTGAAACATTTGATTGTTGCCGGAGACGTGAAATAGTTGATTGTTGCCGGAGACGTGAAACAGTTGATTGCTGCCGGAGACGTTGTGAAACAGTTGATTGTTGCAGGAGACGTTGTGAAACAGTTGATTGTTGCAGGAGACGTTGTGAAACAGTTGATTGTTGCAGGAGAGGTTGTGAAACATTTGATTGTTGCCGGAGACGTGAAATAGTTGATTGTTGCCGGAGACGTTGTGAAACAGTTGATTGTTGCAGGAGACGTTGTGAAACAGTTGATTTTTGCTGGAGACGTTAATTGGCCGTTGCAGGAGACTTTTAGAGTAGGCTAATACTTTAATTGTGAAAGGAGACCTGGTAGTTAGCAGAGTCGGTGAAATTGTTGATTATAGCTAGCGACGTTTTAGAGTAGCCAACAATGTTTTGTGAGAGGGTACCAGCAGCTAGCTCTGGCTGTGAACTAGTTCATTATGGCTGAAGACGTATCGATTGGGTCAACAACTTTGTTGTGCGGAAAGAGAGGGGTCCGGCAGCTAGCAAGTAAAAATAGAAATATTGTTATTTCGGTTGTTTTGTTGTCTGCCCAAGTTTGATATTGTTTCTTAACTGGCGTCTCACGAAGTAGTGCGCAAAAAAAATGATATTAACATCGGAGGATCGCTGAGTCTTGCATGATAATGGATCGACTAGGAGTTATGGTGACTTCATTCGGGATTTGGCTTGGATTAAGATTAACGTTTTGAATCGTTCGTTGACATCGCCTTTGCGAACATTAGCGTGTCGGCAAATATGGAGGCTTATTTAAAAACTCAAGGTAAATAGCTCAGGTAAAACTACTTTTCTTTATACTCGATGGTTTAAAAAAAAAAAAAAAAAAAAAGAAAAAAAAGAAAAGTCTTTTTGTTTTAATAAATTAAATACTAGATCTAAATACTATGCGTTTAAAAAAAATTATTTGCTCAATTTTAATTTAGCACGTCATATAAACCTACCTCTTAAATATCACCACTTTGATTGGTAGAAAAGATACGTTTGACTGTCAATGAACGTGAGGCTCACTTTGTATTTGCCCATTTCGACATATCGATAATATGATTATTGTTGTGGATTCCGAGCCCTAGTGCCACTTGGCATAACTACAGCAATGCATGTTACAGTGATGACCTAATCCATGACTTCTTCGGTTGTCTTGTAAACGTTGAACGTTATATTTGATTAGTTGTTACAGGTTGAATGTTCCACAAGAGAACAATGACTGATTATTAAAGTTAAAGGGACATAACCTTTTTTAAAAAAAAAAAAATCTGTCTCCTGTCTCTGCGATATGAATATTATTTTAATAATTTCATTGGGCGATAAATCCATGAAGGACTGACAATCTAAAGCTCAACTTGTGTTGCCCGGTTAAGAAAAATTTATTTATAGAATAGATAAACTTATTAATCCATAAAAATATCTATAATTTTAAAATACATTTTATCAATAAAAATGCGACAAAAAGAAGGTGCGTCAAATACGACAAGAAGACGCAGCGCGCATGTCTGCACATGGGCTAAATTTAAATAATTAATAATCTTGTTGAGTTGATTAAATAACGCAATTTTCAATAACTTCTCCTCTTTTGTTTCAGGCTGCTCTGTTAATTGGGACTGACGGATACATTATATAATAAGCTGACCAGCCTTTCCTCCGGGGTCAATTTAACCATCAATACATTACTACATCACATGAGTTGAGAGAAACGCACCAAGTATGCAAAGCAGAGGGTCGTCGCCAAGGCAACGCTTCGGCAAGCGCAATGGAAGTGACCCCGATTCCAACAAAAGTGCAGGAATCAACGGTCACACATTCGACAGCCTGGAAACATACACAGTTGAAGATGCCATTGAATCCATTGGGTTTGGGTGGTTTCAGATCAAGATCTTCGTTGTTGGGAAGTTAATTGCTGTGAGTTTTGACCCCATCTGTGTGACAACTGTCTCTCTTTTATGTAACCCAATGATTCAATGGCATGCCATACCAGTAAATTTAAATGTTTAAATTGACACACATGGCATATGGTCATAACTCATGACAGCTCTTTGTTTGCTTCAACTCTAAGAATAATTGTTAACTATCTTCCCCACATCTCGGAGAACTAAAATTGGATACCGGTACCGTACACAAAGTTTTGTGAGACAATTTAATCTATAAAAGTTTGACTATAATCAAATAAACTCAAATAAAACTTCAGAAAATTTGTAAAAAAAAAAAATCAGGAAGGGAAATGTTCCATAATTTTTTAACTCATGGGAATGCATAATATCAGTATAACATTAATAATGAAAAAATAATGTCAAGTCAACCGATTCTAATGATTCACAAATGTTTCATTAATTAATGTGCCAACAAAATGTATCAGTATCAACTACTTGCTAAAGGGACCTTAGCCCTTCTTGAACTGAGCACCTTCTAGGGATCACAACCGAGGGCTCACTGACCAACAATTTGAGAATCAATGGTCTAGCATTAGTGTGCACACGCAACCAAACATCTTTAGAAAAAAAAATGTGTCGGCTAATCTTATGCTCTAATGGCAGATCTAGGGGAGATGACTCCTAAAATCTCCATGCTCTTCATTTGAGTATAGATCATTGAGAGCCACTTTGATAAGGTCTAAGACAACATATTTGATTGCTCATTTCTATATAAAAGCATTTGAATCCCTTAAAATAACTTAAGACATTGTTGATCTTGATGACATCTCTTAATGTTTCATTCTTTCCTCTTTCTTAGGCAGCTGATGCTATGGAGATGATGATGCTGGCCGTGTTATCTCCCTTGGTTAGATGTGAGTGGCAACTGGAGGACTACAAAGTAGCATTTATAACAACGGTTTGTAGCCATTTGACACCACACCACAAACTCGATGATTTGTTAACATTTGACGCTACACCACTACCTCAATGGTTTATTAACATTTGACATCACACCCCACCACTACTTGAATGGTTAACATTTGACACCACACTACTTACCTCAATGGTTTGTTAACATTTGACACCACACCACTTCCTCAATGGTTTGTTAACATTTGACACCACACCACTACCTCAATGGTTTGTTAACATTTGACACCACACCACTACCTCAAGGTTAACATTTGACACCACACCACTACCTCAATGGTTTAACCGTAGCTTTTATTTCATTTGAAATGACATAAGAAACCACAATTACCCAATGCCTAGAGAAGAAGAAATGAATCATAATTTGTCCCTGTTAATTTGCAGGCTGTGTTTATAGGTATGGGGGTCTCAGCTCCATTGCTAGGGATAATGGGAGATAACTATGGCAGAAAAACAGTAAGTTGCAATATTTGCTACAGCATAAATGAATAAACATTGGTTGTTTTATGAGGATGTGGTTAATGAGGTTTGTTTCATAAATAAAATAAGAGACATTTAGTTTACTAATTATTGATTTTCCTTTTACTAGTTTTAATGAAAATATATTATATTAAATTTGATAATCCATAACTTTGTTTTAAATAAATATCTGACATCCAATATTCTCATTTTGTCCTGTCATAGTAACTAAGTTCTGCAATAAATTGTATCAGTTTACTCCTCTTCACCAATTTTCCAGACGCTGGTCATGATTACTTTATGGATTGGTTTCTTTGGGTTTTTGACAACATTCAGTCCTTCCTTTGCTTGGATTTTAATATTGCGTGGACTGGTTGGCTTTGGAATGGGAGGATCTCCACAAGGGTAAAATAATAATTTTAGCATTAAATAAAATTTGCACTTTGAATACATTGAACAAAATAATATTTGATTACATTTTAACTACTAAAGATATTCTTTTAACTCTAAAATATATTTAGTTATACTTGTTTCTGGGAGGCCTGACCTGGGTACTGACCTCAATACCCGGAGTATTAGCGCACCTGGCACATATCCAGATATGGCAAAAAAAAATGGAACCCGCTATGGGTGGTAAAAAGTTATCTTCTTATTTTCTGTAACTCTTCCACCCGATGGGGAAAAAAATTAAAAGTTCATGTGTGGAAACAGTACATCGGTTTTCACATAATTTTTTTTTACATTTGACCTGAAGTTATTAAATAATAATAGAAAATTGACTAGCGATTGGCGCAAAACCAAATTTATACTAAATGAAATAGCAAAGCTCTGAAAATAATAATATACTTGCTGTAAGTTTTGTGTTATTGTTTGTCTTAGTAAGATCCATATCTTTGGTTGTGACCTTGGCACTTTCTAATTAAAATAATTAGTCTAGTATTTCATTTTACAAGCTGACTGGCTGATGTTAATGAGTAGCCAAAGGCTTTTTTGTTTTTGTGTGGATCATTTCTAAGTTCTGTAATAGAATTCAATTGATATTATGTAATTTAACACTCATTTTATAAGTGAAGTCATTGGCTTAACTGAAAGAAAACTAGAACTGTAACACCATGATGTAATATAAATATTTATTAAAATAATAATATGCATATATTGGTATCAGAAAAATGAAAACTGCTATCAACAAGCAGCTAGCAATTCCGGTACTCAATACTAACACACACAGCAAAGTTCCACTCCATGTTTTAGTTTTTTATGTTTATGGGTTAGGGCAGTGGTCCTGAAACTGTGGGTCATAACAACCTCGAGGTTTGTCTGACAAAGGGTCAAGGGTCGATTCAGAATTTAAAACGTTTTTATGTGTTTAATTGTGTATTTGATATTTACAGTGATCAGACTAGTTTCTTATTGCTACAACACTCTGACTACAGCTACATAAAATAAAATGAAAACTCTTTGATGTAGATGCTGGCAGTTAATTTAATATATATATATATATTTTGGCAGTTGCTTTTCATTTTAAAAAATCACATTATTTCTGATTTTAATTGGGTTTTTTTGTTTTTGCTCTTTTAAAAATTTGTTTTATTTCAAAAAAGGTCTACCCTTCCCCATTCAACACCTGTTTCTCAAGTTCAAGTTGTAATTACTGTTGTGATTTACAACAAAGTGGCAAATGCTATAAAGGGGTTGTGGCACTAAAATGATTGAGAACTGCTCGGTTAAGATTATATTAATAAGCTATTGGTGTTTTTAATCTTTAAATTGTGTTCGCTACTGGTTCTGAACATGCACTTTTCACTTCTCCCAAATTGGAAGGAACACATTGTGGAAAATGAGAAGATAACTCTTTTTTTTTATTGTAACACCTGAACTAGGACCCATCTGGTATGGTCTCAAAATATCAGGAGTGGGTGTAAAATACTGCACCTGGCTCAGTCCTAGTTTCTGGTCTTTTTGTTAGCAATGCAAATATTAACCCTTCAGAAAAAATATGAGAACAGTACACATGCTCAATTCATACATTTTTTTTATCACAACCAGGTGTAAAAGAAGTATATTTTATGTCTATACATCTACCATACATATATAGACCAAAGGTTCTCAAAGTCGGTAGGAGGTCCCTGATCGGGTTGGGGGGAGGGGGGCTAAAATACAACACTCTGTAAATTTAGGGGATCACTGTAAATGTTGATTTGGCTACTGCCCCCCTTGATTTGTTTATTTTATCACTAATTTATTGTTTTTCTTTTAGGTTTTCATTGAATGCTGAGTATGTCCCATCAAAGTACAGAGCCAAACTTCTTGTGTTTGGAACAGTAAGTATTAGGAATGCCTACATACACATGTTTTCATCAAGTTTTTAACAAGTTTGAATAACTTCTTTCAATATTGAAATATAAATATATAATATTTTTCTACATCATATACAGACTTTTAAAATGTTCTGCTTTTTCAGAAATGAAAAAGAAATTATATTTGTTATATTTGGAAATTTGTTTATTAACTGTTCAATTTATATGATAATTTAGTTAAACAATTATCCTTATTATTTTAACATTTTAAAAGTAAAAATAATATTTTATTACCATTTTATCCCATAAAGATAGAATAGTAGACCTATGTTTATTTTATTTAAAGTGAAATTAACTTTTTTGTTTATATAATAGGCTCATTATTTTATTAACCAAAATATTCACTATAAGTTTTTAATGAGATTGATCAAGATGAAGTGGAACAACTTTTAAAAAAAAACATATATTTGATACATTTACTCATATGATGAAGTAGTGTGAATTCATTTTGATTTTTCCTTAGATATTCTGGACAATGGGGGGTGTGTTTGAGATAGTTCTTGCTATGATAGTTGTTCCTACATTGGGATGGAGATGGCTGCTTGCTTTATCAGCTATTCCTGTCCTTATAGCATGTGTTGGGCTTATTGTAAGTAATTTAGAAGTCACTTTGGGCTTTTGAAACAAATGAAACAGCATGCAAAAAAAGTTTTCCCTTTCTTACAAGTAGTATCTTCTTTAAAACTCACAGGTTAAAAAAAAAAATTCTAGGAATCATTTTATTGAATTTATAAACCATAAAGATTAACTCTCTTTGAAAGAAATTTGTAATAAGTTTATAGAAAATGTTTACTTTCAATTAATTAAGTAGGTATTTGGCTTTAAATAACAAACAAAACAAGTTTAATCCTTTTTTTTTTAAACTCTCATTATTTGAACTTCCTGATTTTTCACAGTTTATTCCTGAGTCTGCCAGATTTCTTGTAGCTGCAGGTTATATTGATGATGCCTTAATAATATTAGAGAGAGCAGCTAAGATTAATCATTCCAAACTACCTGAAGGCAAGTTGGTGCAATCGCAGAATGTAAGTGGATCCACTAATCAACCAAGGTTAATGAAAGGCAAAATTTGATGTTTGCTCTATTTAACATTATGTAACAATCTGCTAAAATGTATGAGTATACAGAAAAAAGAAGTCCTTTGATTTAAATAATTCTAAGGAATGAAAAGTATACCTCAAAATGGAACAGAACATTTGAACTGACATGTCAGCTATCTTTATTCTCAGGTGGCACTTGGTCGATTAAAAGATGTTTTCAGCAGAGAGTATCTGCGTTCTACTCTACAACTTTGGTTGTTGTGGTTTGGTGTGGCATTCACCTATTATGGCATGGTCCTGGCCAGTACTGAGGTCCTACGAATAAGAAATGAAGAGAGTATGACTCTTTTTAAAATAGTGTTACAATGTTGTGAAAAGTTTAGTACAGACATTATTTACCAAAGTTTGCCATGCTTATTTCAGCGATCATTATAAAATATTCATTTGTTAACTTTTTAAAATGATTAACTGCTACTTTGATCAGAAATCATCTGTGTATCTTTATGTTCTGTATGATGTTATAATATAACTGTATTACAATTAGAAGAATTGAAATGGAATAATTGATAGTACAATTCATTTTTTGCATTGTAAATAAAATGTTGACTCATTTGTTTTCAGAATCTTCTAAATGCAAATGTACATATCTTACCACTGATGATTATGTAACCATGGTGCTTTCTTCTTTAGGAGAGTTGCTGAGTAAGTTTAGGCCAATTTTTTTCTAGCTATTTACTTTTATGGTGATTTTCAGTTTTATTTAGCCTTTAAAGGATTTGAAGAGCTTTCAACTGTTAGTTTCAAATTAATCTATGTCTGAAGTTGAAGATACAATAAAGTAACATGCTCATATTGTCCCATTAATCGCAAATGTCACTATAGTTCAACTTATGCTACATTTCTTTCCAGGTTTACCAATCAACTTTCTACTTATAGACCGAATAGGCAGACGTTTTACTGGCGCCATGTGTTACTTTGCTTCAGGATTTTTCTTTGTGCTTATTCAACTTCAAGTGAACTTAGGAGTTTTAACTATGTTAATGTTTTTTGTTAGAGGATTTTCTTCAGCTACTTTCAACTTTGTTTACATTTACTCTTCAGAGGTAAAGTAAAATTTATTACCTTGTTTCTTCTTTTTTACACACAACTTGGATGTTACAACATTGCCAGTTCAATCATAAAAACTGGTTAGGGTTTGCAAGAAAAATAATAATTGATATTTTACAAAAAACTAATATTTTTCTTATGAAACTATTTTACTAATGTGGGATGAGTAAGACATAAATACATTTTTTTTGATGAGATCATTTTGACTTAACTTTATAGCAAAAAATGCCAAGTTAAATTTTCATTTACTTAAACTTCAGTGCTTCTATTTTGACAATAAAATCTAAATAACACTTGAACTGTCCCATTATCAAATTTTTTTAATATCGGCCGCAGATTGATTATTACATGTGCCATTGTAAAGGGTTGTCTTTTCTTCAGCTGTATCCAACATCTATCCGAACTTTAAGCATGGGCATGGCATCAGCAATGGCCAGGGTGGGTGCTATGGTTACTCCATTTGTGGCACAGGTAAACAGAATAAATTTAAATATTTTGTTATTTGATCCAAGCCTTTTAAAAAAACATTTTAGGATATGTGCAAATAATCATTTTCGTACTACTTTAACTTTTAACAAAAACAAACCAATTTACTTTGTGTTATTTTAAAACTCATGTTGTAGTGTGAGCTAGAAATTTGCATCAATCATTCAGTTTCCTTAGGAATATGTTCACTGGATATTCCACATGTTGAAATTAATAGTAGAAGCAAATTAACTACACTCTCCACAATAGTGAATGATCATTCTTATAATTTGTATAGGTTTTATTATCACACTCTATTGCCACTGCAACTTGGGTGTATGGAGGACTATGTATTATTTGCAGCATATGTTGTTTGCTGTTGCCAATAGAAACTAAAGGGAGGGCTCTGCCTGTAAGTATATCGTGTATCATTCATTTTTCCCATTCATAATTTCAGATTCTCTTATTTTTAGTTAATGTTCAGCTTTCCTTTACTTTTTGACACTTAAAATGGTGTCTTTTGTTTTTTTTTAGCTTTACCATAAATCAATACATTAATTACTTTATAGTAATAGTCTCAAGGTTCTTATAGAGCCTCTTTATGTCAAAAATGGAAATATCTGTTACAATTATAATAAAACTATAATTAATACAACTAGCAGAGGCCCGGCCTTTTAGTGGTTAAAATATGATTGAAACAGTTTATTTCTTCATTTAATTTTATCTTATAGTAGGGTTTTATGAATTATATTTAGTGTAGAAAATGTTACTCTCATTTACCATTACTGTGGCCATTTTAGAAAAAGGTTCCCTACCCCATTCTAGGAATGATTATGGAATAATGATACAATTCAAAACGCTCAGACTCAAGTAAATAAACACTCGACACAATTTTCTCATGTAATGATCAAAGCAATTTTATCCACTGCACACTGGAAAGACGTTAAATTTTGTGCTTGAACTATGCACCAAGAAAAATGTGTACATTAAACATTCATGACTGACCTAGCCACAGTGCAAAATAGTGATTATTTAAAATACGTTTAGTTCATATAAGGAAAAACATGAATGTGGATCTCAGGATCCAGATGTTTCCCATGGCCTGAAATGTGTTTCTTCAACTCAACACAATCTCAGAAACACATCTGTTAAAAACATTTCACAAATCCTTCATTAAATACCAACATCTCACCACTTATGACACACTACATCCAATTACTTAACACAAAAAGGATCTTCTGCAAAAAAGAAAATAAACAATCACAGGACATAATAATGTCAATACCATTTATATGCTATTTCTTCCCTCTTAAAAAATTTTATAAAAAAATATTTTGTGTGCATTTACTGATTAGCTTGTTTATGTACGGCATTAAAAAAATATGATGTGGATATTAAATATAGCATTTATATCCATAGCAATCATTAAGTTGTGAACCATCTGACAGCATTGAACTTAGTGAAACATCATCACAGTACCACGAATCTGATCCTGACGGCACAGTGTCCACAATTGAACAGGAAAAGAACAATCTAAGGGCGCGAAAGAAAAAAGAAAAAGAGTGGGAGAGATGGGGTGGGGGAGAGAGTGAAAGTTAAAACTAGAATCAATAGATTGAAAGCATTTATTTGAAAGTGTCATCGATGAATGACAACTAGCAGAGATCATTAATTTACAATGATATTTACCGTATGTAAAAAAATACATTTGTAAATTGATGAAAAGAATCTGATGAGGTCAAAAATATCCCTCATAGTATTTCCTGAATTTGAAATATATCTTTGCTGGAAATTAAAGTGAATCTGAAAAAGATTTGTTAGATCTGACACAATACTACCTCACATCACATGGGTAAAATTTATCCAAAATGTGCTTTAAATATGGATCATTACCAAGAGTTCTTATTTCAGACCATGTCCAAATTCAGTTGTCTCTAACTGTATGATTCTGTTCCCCATATTAAAAATAAGAAATACCCTCGCCCCCTCCCCTCATAGAGAGAAACACTGTTTTAAATGTCAGGCTGAATCAGGTAAATAAGGGAAATGTTCTTTATTCCTTTTTCTAGGTTATTTCCAGACAAATATTTTCCATTTTAATATCCCTGTAGAAATCATTGAAACAAGAAATTAGTGGACTCACCCTTCCTTACAAGGAAATAAGCACATGGATTGGGAGTTTGAAAAAATAAATGTATTAATGTGTTATTTAATTTACAAAGTTGTTTTTTTTTTCTAATTTAAAAATTTGTTTAGAATTTTAGAGCTCTATATAAGAAGAGCTTAACTCAACTCGATTTTCCATCAAAATCAGTTTGTTTTGCAAATAGATTAGATGGTGTCACCATACGTTCTTTGTTAATAGACAGGCCCAACCTTATCATTTTTTTTTGGTAAAAAATAGTGGACCAAACGGATGGTAAAAAACATTTCCTAAAAATGCACACACAAAAAGAAAATTATTGAAATGTCAAGAATTGTGCTTTCATTGTCTGAGTTTACCTGGGTATTATGAAGTGATTGTCATACATGGAAAAATTTTGTGCACAACCTTAAAATCAACTTCTATTTATTCAATTACAGCTAATATTATTAACCTATTTTGTAATTCGTTAAAAAATTCTTTTATAAAAAAAGTGGGGATTTTTTTTGTTAAGTCCTTGTTATTTTTATTCTTTTGCAAAATACTTATTTTTTACCTACCCTAAAATTTTAACTGAATATTTAACTTTAAGTTAGTTAATTTAAATGTAGACCTACTTCACTTTATAATTATTTCATGTTTTTTAAATTTTACCTAATTAATGGACTTTATGCATAAATTCAATTACCATCCATATAAATTATAATATAAAGTATTAGAAATACTTTAGTGACTAAATTTCCATGCAATTTGATTACTTTCCTATTGCAGCAGGGATGTCAATTAGATAATTGAAATTTTATTTTATGCTAATAACTATAACTGAGAACTCAATTATTTATGAAGAAGATCAAATTTTAAACAAAATAAATATGAAACATAAAAAGAGTTTAAAAGCTTTTCTCTTACTTATCTAGAGCAAATACACCTTTTGGAAGAATGTAAAACTTATAATAATGTTTATTAACTATGCCTTATTTAATAACTCATTATCTCATCAAGTACTACATGCCGCCTGTCCCAAATTTTCTAATAAGCTCTCTGAAACTCTATGTAATGTTTCCTCCTGGGGCAAGGAAAAATAGTTGCACTAAAGAATACCTTGCTAGTGATCTTGTCTCCTCTTGATGTCCATTCAAAGGTAACTTAATAAGTCTATAACTAGAACAGATATCATGACTCATCATGGAAGTGTGTTGAATTATTAAGATGAATAAACTGAATGTCCTATTTTTGCTTGAATATTGTTGTCCTGTTATGAGGCTCACCACACACAAGTGACCTTTAAGAAACGTTGATTCCAAGTGATATATTTTGACACCTATATCTCCAACATTACTGCCACTGTATTTATCTAATATGTTCATTATCTTAAATGTAATTTTATCATGTTGTAATATATGATTAATGTACCAGAGCGGCAATGTTGGCATTTTTAGTGTGATAACTTTTTATTTGTAATAAAGTTGTAGAATCTATTTTACTTCACTTTTTAAAAATGTTTTTACCACCTTATTGCCAGCCACCCTTTTTAACTTAACATTGTGTTTCAAATATTTTTGCTGAATAACTAATTATATTTATATTTTGCTTAGCTTACATTTTTGTCAATGAATCCCTTAACTTATAAATTTATTTTTAAGCAATAATGCTTTGATATTAATAAAAACTCTTGAAGCATCTTGTGGCATTGATATTCTCAAGTTTTCTTGAAACATTGTATATTATAATGAATCTGTACCTATAAATAGAAAAATTTTACTGGCAAAAAAAAAAGATCATTTTGAAATTTTTTCTGTTATACTATAACTGATGATTGTATTAAAATCTCCAATACATGACATTTATTAGTACTTTGATCTATTGAAATCATATCAAATTCCTTGCAAGTCATAATGTTAATTTTTAAAAAATTGAGTACTAGCAATATATAAGTATTAGGCTCAAAATTAAATCTGTGCCTACATATTCAGTGTCATTTAATTGTGTTCTTTTTACATAAACTTGAAAGTTACTGTTGAGGTTGCCAAGAAATATTCAGTTAAGGTTTGTAAACCGCCTTAAAAGTAAAGGTAATTTTTAACGGTGAAGAACTCACTCATTTAATATAATACTTAGCGTTGAAACTTCCCTAACCCTATAAACTAAGTTCACTAATCAAGTTTTGTTTCCAAATGCTTTGATGTAATTACAGTCTGCAGGTTTTGTTTTACCTCATTGCCAGGAAAATGTGTACAATTCCTAAAACGGAGTAGCACAAAATCCTCAGCAAAGAATTCACTAGAGAACATTGACATTAAATACATTTTCTTACAAATTTCCTCAAGATTGCAACCCCACCAGAGTCAGCAAGCATTCTATCTATGACTCATTTCTTGTGAGAATTCATATGTTAAAATATACAGATTGTAACAAATGTAGTTTATTACAAATTACAGTCGGATCTGAGCGACTTGGCTAATCCTAGCTGGGAAATTAAGGAATTGCCTTCATTTTTTTCATAAATGCAAAAAGTGACAATCTCTTTAATTGGGGCTGTAAATATGTGTGGATGCCATCAACCAAAAATCTCACTGTACAACTTAATTCATTTGGCAAAATAATTTTTAAAAATTGAATTCCACTTCATTTTAAGTTATTTGAAATTAGTAGTGTTGGAGTGCACAAGGAATTATATTCCTCTACATTTGCTTTCTTATGATATTGTGTCATATTAGTTACATTTACTCAGAAATTAGTTTCTGGAACTTTCAAATGTAGCCAGATGCTCTAGTTAGTGTATTTTCTGGGATATAAATACTTGTACCGGTAATGTGTAGTTGTACCTAGCATAAACTACACTTTTTACAGAGGTCTTTTCCTGATGTAAGTGTAAGCTTCTCATTGAAAAAAAGAAAATAAATGCAACTATTTTTCAGTTTATGTATTTCTTTTTTGTTAAAGCTTTAGTTTTTGAAACTTAATGATAGTGCAAGCAACAAAATCAAATAGTATTTTGCAAAGATTTCATTAACAAAACAAAAAATAATGGAATGAGCACATGACTGGAAGGAACAATAACAAAAGTTTTTATTTCAACATGAGTTATCTTCCATTAATCAGAATGTTACCTAAAAAGGGCATCAATAGAATGTTCACTTATTTGTAATAAATGATTGAAAACAACACCAACTTCTAGAATTTAAAAAATAAACACAATATTACAATGAAAATGATAATAAGTTTTGGTCTTTAGAAAAATAACAAAATTCACTTCAGCACTGGACTTTAACAGCCGATCTTGAGAGGAAAATAAAGGCAATGGAGATGAGATGCTCCAGAAGCATTTTTGGCATCTGCTATAGGGACCATATCTCCAATGATACAGTGAAAGAAAGGGTTCGCCAGGCTATTGGGGAGTACGATGACCTACTGGTGACTGAAAAAACGCAACTACAATGGTACGGCCACGTAACAAGGAAACAAGGGCTTGCCAAAGAAATATTGCAGGGCACCACAAGAGGAGGGAGAAGAAGAGGAAGACAACGAAAAAGATGGGAGGATAACATCAAAGCGTGGACAGGACTAACACTGGGCGATGCTGCAGAGACGTATGGAGGAGGATAGTTCACATGTCATCTGTAGCGCCCCAACGGTTCAAGGACTAAGGGACATGATGATGAATGGGGGTGAGGGGAGACTGAAGTCAGGTTAGAAAAATGGAAATGAGTGAAACAAAGTATGGGAAACCTGAAAAAAATAAAACAATGAGACAAAAAAGCCTTCTTCAGTGAACAAATAACAGTAAAAACAGAATTAAATTATAAAAATTAACAACTAGCTGTAATGTTGTAAGTCCACTGCGATTGGTCATAACGAGGAGGGGGGTGGAGAAAAGGTTTAACAGGTGAATGAGTACATAAGTCCACATGTAAAGATCTATTTAACATTTTATCATCATCCTTGTCTCTGATCCAGTAGCCACGTGGGGATGCACCTTTCACAGCTAGGCCATGGTGACAGACTTGCAGGTCATCCTCATTGTGTCTGTCTAAAGGGTGTTGCAATAGTCTTGCAATTGTGGTGGATAGTTGAGGAGTATGGCCTGAAGTGTGGGGTAGTTAAAGATGTTGTTAAATATTTCATAACTTCCTTCTTATGGCTATTACCTTGATTTGTTTATCACTGTCTTCATGTATTTCATTCACATCAAATTCCTTCTCCAACATTTTAAGAAACCTGAGGTCTCTGTCATATCGAATCTTACATGAAAGCAGAGTCAAAATTTTATTGCTTGGCGTCAGTGACTTAAGAGTTCGCAGCAAATCCTGAAATGTCTCTTCAATGTATATAATATCCGCCCCTAATATAAGATCAAGTTCGTCAAAGCCACGGGGATCCACATCTTCTGTCCAATCCAATACTCTAGCGGATATCTTCCAAGATTTGTTCAAAGAGTTGGCGTCAATGGCTGCTGTGAGGTGGTCCAAAGCTGAGGCTCTCTCTGTTAAAATGACCTCAGCACCTGGAAGTTAATTACAAGACAGCTCGTACCACTTCAGGAGATGAGTCACATGTAACTAGGATAAATTAATGAGTATGATTTAGCCTGTTTTCACATCATTCAAGCTTTAAGTCCCAAACTGGGTCGCCCACAATGTATCTTTATAAAATATGAGTTAGGAATAAATACAATGTTAAAAATGAAAATCTATTATTAGTGCCAAACAGTTCATATTTAACTTTTTAGAAAAATAACTTATGTTGTGGGATGGTGTGTGTGGGGTGTTGTCTAATGCTCACCAAGGTATCATTACATATCCCCCACCCCACCTTTTCCCAAAATCTCCTGTTTATTACCTAAAGCAGCTGCCACTAAGCCCGTAAGGCCAGACCCTGCTCCTAGCTCTAACACTCTCTTGTGCTCTACCAAGTTCCTGTGTTTGTCAAGATATTCCGCCAGCACCACAGCCTAAGAAATAATATTTATTTGAGCTGTTGTAATAGAATCATAAGCCTACATTTTGAATGAATTGTAAATCAAAATAATTTTAAATAATAATAATTGACAATATAATAATGATAAATAATATATTAACCACCCATCTAGCTTAAGTTAGAAGGAGTATAGCAAATCAACTAATGTCTATTTATTTATTTATTTAGGCATTTTTATATAGCGCTTCCCTTAAAGCTCTAAGCGCTTTACAATTATTAAAAAAATGTAAACTAACTAAAATAAAAATGAGACATTAGGATAGTAACTATTATAGGTAAATGATGGAAAAGTTGATTAATGGAGATATTTTATTATTTATAGCACTCCTGAAAGCAGAGAGGTAGTACCAGTGTTTTAAACTTGGTTATATTTGGGTCAAATTGAAGTTAAAAGTTGTTAACTTTTTAAGGATTTAAACAAATTAGGATAATTGATTTTTTAAAAATATGCTACCTAATGTATTTTCTAAAATAATAAACTAGTGATCATTCAAATCTGAGACAACATATATGGTAACCGGAAATTTGATCGAAAGAAATTTCGTAGACGGTAAATAGGTCGACGGAAATTTGGTCGAATAGAAATTTGGTTGAATCTTTTTCTCAGTTCACGCGTTAACATTTTTGTTGAATTTCTTTTTGAACGCACTAAACTTTGTAGTGAAACAAAATAATGCGTTCAAAAAGAAATTTGAAGGAAAATTTTAATGTAAAAACTGAAAAAAAGATTCGACCAAATTTCCATTCTATCAAACTACTGTCTATCAATTTACCGTCTACGAAATTTCTTTAGATCAAATTTCCGGATACAAATATATATATGTATATAAATTTGCTTGAACAAACTTTTAAAGAGTTACACAGGCAAGAACAGATGGTTTCTATGACAGGTCCTGCTGGGACAAATCTCTTGAGGCTACTTACTGAATCCCAAACGACTGCTGCAACTCCAAGACCCTGCCAATTTTGATTTATAATAAACTCATGGTCAGCAATAATAAACTTGCGAGTGGGCATTTCATGTGGTAATACTTTGGTCTCATCGTAAATGACGACAGCTAAAGAAGTTGACAGTTTACTTTCACCCTTGTGAGTTGATTGTTGCTCCTCCATGACCACATCTAAAAAATAAATAAAATGGCCAATTACTACTACCCATCCATAAATAGTTTTTTAAAGCATGAGTTTAAACATATTGTATATTTAACTCTAAGTAATACCTAAGGCTGAACTTAAACATTCAACAAACAATTATAAGAGTCACAGAGATCTTGTAAATTTGGTTTCTTCTCTTCTTTTCATTGTTCTTCAAATAGATTGAATAGAAGTAGAAGCAATAAAAACAATGGCATATCTACTTATATAACATTGTCCTCAACTTAACTCACTTGAATCTTCACAAGTCTCTTGTTTATAACATTTGCCATCAGTCTTTAAGTGGGTGCTTATGGTGCTGTGATCAGACTCACATGTACAATATACCACAAATGTTAGCCATACCTACAAATATGTTTTTTTAAAACATAATTTGAAGAGTAAATAACACTATATTAAATAATTGAAACAGCCTACTACACTCTATATTGATTATAATTTCACAAAAATGAATATAAACCACAATGAATGTAATAATTCATATCAATATTATAAATGAAAATAGAATAACTTAGGCCTAGGCCTAAAGACATTTTTAAAAACCAATAATAACCAATTTTATGCAACAAAATTTAACTTACTAGGCCTAATGCCTAATTTGTAGCATAATAGTAGTAATAGTTTTTTTAAAAAAAATACATATATATTATAAAATATAGAATATTCCCTTTTTTTGCCTAGTACCGTAACTAGACTGTTAGTCATTAGTAGTTTTGAAATTTTCCATCTTTGCACTATGACCATTCACGCCGACATGCCATTAATCTTATTAACTTATAACATTTAAATGAAACTTAGCATTAGTTAGTTTTGTATTATTGTATTATCTCATTATCTATAAAAGTGTAAATCTGTACGTGGATATATTTTTAAAAAAAAAGATAATATATAGATTCCTATATAATATAAAGCATGGTGGTTCTGGGCGAAACTTGGTACTAATACTTTTAGACTAATTTATTTACTCTTATTTACAAAATAAAAGACACTAAAACATAAACAATTCTAATTTTGCTTGAAATTTTAAAATTCCATGTTGATACTGGTACACATACTCAGCCTGATTCAGCTGCAGGAAATTGTCATGAACAATAAATAAACAATGCTTTTTTGTGTTTTATGGTGGTAATACCTTATTTTAGAGTGATTAATTATTTCTAGTGAAATAGATTAAAAACTTTATATCCCAAATTTCTTTACCATAAATAAGGCGTAATTTAATTTCTGAAAGTTATTTTCCTGTCACTGGTGGCACTCACCCTGATTGAAAATAACAGAGGGTGGCATTTTCTATATAATAGGTGCGCTATTTTCTTCAACATGGGCGCCCTCTTTATATTCGTGACGTAGTGGGAGGATTGTTCATAAATAGGCCAAAATTGTGTGAAAATAAATACTTGTTGAGTTAACAAGGTGTATTATGTATCATGGAACATAGAAATATTGAAAACCGTAAAAATCCGACAGAATATTATAGTATACAATATACAACAACGATGTCTGCCAAAGTCTTTTTCAGCTACCGGGAACACAAAAGCCAAATGGTACAGAACAAATAAAAGATCTTACCTTTTATGCTCTGGGAAGTCCAAGAAAAAGAAATGAACTGTTTAAATTGTTTTAAACAGGATATTGTCCTTTAACAGTCAAAAGTTCTTTGAACACCTTAATCTTTGTGACATTGCAATGGAAATAAAACTACTTTAAATATGATGAATGATGGAAACAATGTATCGTTTGTTCCATGCTGTCTTTTTAGTTTATGTTTTTTGCTCATCCATAGATATTCTATGTTTTATGTGTCACATCTGGATCATTGGGATCCACAAAATTCCTTACAGGCACCACAGCTAAATGCATAAATTGCTAGATTTCTATAGCCTGCCCATCCATTTTTATTATGTGTTCCTGGCAAAACATGTTGGACAATAATGTTTTCCAGGGTTCCAGCTGTTCTGTAGCCAACTTTCACTATGAAGCATTTTCCAGTGGCCCTTCTATCCCACCAAAAATCCAGAAACCTTGATGCCACACTCCTCTGCGATATTTTCTGTGAAAAGTTTTGGATTCATCAACCTCAAAAAGCACTGGCTCTCCATTATTGTAAAAGCCACCAATCTGCGTGGCATGCTGGTTAAGATAAACCCTTATATCCTCTCGAATAAAATTAAACCTGTCAATCACTGTGTTTTGATTCTGTATTTCAGACTCATGCTTTGTAACATCTTGAGGAAAACCATTTGCAAAACAATATAAGAGAAAGACTATTTTAGATAATGGTAAATGGCTCCTAGTAAAAAAATTAGCCATCTTGTATACTTTTCCTTAAATCACAAATTGAACACATCCATATCTTTTTATTAATTCCTTGATTGTACATAGCAAGTTTACAAGCCACATAGCAGTTTTTGGATTTCATTTTGTTCTTCAAATGGGAGCGCCTTGCAAGAAATTTCATACTGGTTGTTGTATTGGTGTTATTTCTTGCTTCACATAGTGTGTGCAGAAACCAAATCTCCATCGGATCAACAATTTGAATTCTAATTAATCTTGGTAGTCCTGCAATTTTTGTCAACTCCAGCTCCGCTTCGAGCTCTGAAAAATTAAAAAAGGGAGGGTGGTGATTGAGAAGTGCTGTTAGGTTTGAAAAGAAATGTCTTTATTGTTACCCATCTTACTGCATTTGAAATGCATGTATCGGCAACATAATAGGTAGAAGAGTGGGGCAACAATTTTAATAAATAAAATTTTGCCTTCTTAGATCTGCTCCAGCTCTGGGAACAACCTTGCTCTTAAGCTACAAGGTCAGCAATAAATAATTCTTTTGCACTCCTTGCCGAACTTAAACAAAGGTGTTACATCAGCACCATGTGCTCATGCCATGCCTCTGGTTCCCTTATTCATCGTTGTCTTGGACATCGGTCACTCTTTGAGGTTGGTGGAATCCTATTATGTCGAGACTCCATATTTTGCGACTTTTGCGTGACCCAATGTTTTGCGCGGTTTCTCTTGTCAGCTGCTTATGCCTTGACACTGAAACTCATACACTGTCATTCTTTGATATAGTGACATGGCATTATTTCCCCGGTCACTCTTGATCAGATAACTTGATGATAATGTATGTGTCCGCTGCTTTGGTCAGTAATCAACTTCGCAACTTTTTAAACTTCCCCCCGCCCACAAGGCTTCAAGGGACTATCCGTATATTCCAAAAGCACTGAGGGAAAGGGGGAGGGTGTAATGCAGATCATCAGTGTCATTATATTACAACCAGCCAAAAAAGATTGTCAATGAAAATACAATGTTGGAAATACATAAAAAGATAGAAGAAAAAATGGAGGTATATCATAATCATTATCAAATATTTAAACTTTCCTTGTTCCTGGTACAAATATAATTTATGTGGAGAGGTGGGAATCGGGAAGGTCTGAGGTTACACCATTAGTTAATTAATACTTCGTGTATGAGTATGACCCTGTCGTAAGCTGATCCCTCTGTTTTCTGAATCTGACTAATTGTCTACCTTACTTTAACTCAGGGGTCGGGAACCTATGGCGAGCCAGATGTGGCCCTATTGATGGCTGCATCTGGCTCGCAGACAAATGTTCGATTATACAAAAATGTTTCTTTAGACTCCTTTGATCTACATATTAATTGCATATCAATATTTGATTAGCAACAGCATAACAATGTTATTAAAAAGAATTCAGAGACATAATTATTGCACTTTTAGTGTTGAAATTACACAAAATGCACATATTTACTTGAATTTTTTAGTTTTAAACATAATGTATGGCTCTCACAGAATTACCTTTCAAAATATGTGGTGTCCATGGTGCTCTCAGACAAAAAGGTTCCCGACCCTTGCTTTAACTGTATGAAAATTGCTTTTGGTCTGAGACGGAAAAAGTGAAACAATATGCTATGGCCATGGCTACACATTAGGCACACATCGACAGAATAGAATAAGAATGAGCTATGCTGACTGTAACGCAAAAGAACAGAAAAGATGTAAATACGTTCGGATTCTTAAAAATTATCATAGTTATTTTCTATTATTTTACGGAAATCGAAAACATTTGAATGCGCAAAATATTACATATCAGCTTTAATTTTAGTCAAAGTTTAAATATTATTATTATAATTTACAAATACATTTAAAGTAACAAATAAGGAAGTATCTTAGCATTTTATGTGTTTGAAAGTTATGAAAAAAAAATTAAATACAAAAATTATGATCAAAGAATTACACCGTAATCACATTTATCGGGAAACCCCAAACATCAGTTGTTTTTAGTGCGTTTTTTTGCAAATAAAATTAAAATTAATTTGTTCTAAACAATTAGTCAAATGACTCATAGAGAGAATCTCCTATTTTAGGCAAAACTCTTAAGTTTCTTTGATTTAATTGTTACACCTGTTACAAAACTGATAATGTATTTTCCCCTTCTTAAAAGTAAAATTAATACACATAATTGATTGCTTTTTAAATTGTTAATAAAACAAACACAATTTTAACTTTGTATTTTCAACATTTAATAAGTTTTTACTGTTTTAAATTAAAAAAATATACTTTTACTTTTATGAAATTTATAAAATAGTAAAAAATTACCTTTAACTATAATTTTAATTAGAAAATGCTGTTTAATTCAATCAGTGCAGCAAAACAACATAGCCAAATAGCCTTCACTAATGCACTTATCACTCATACAAATAAGAACAAAGCATACGAAATGCAAAGAAAAATATTTTTGCATGAGTAAGTGGGTTACAATCCCACGGATGATTTTTTAAAAACTCTGTAGGGGTGGGTGGAGGAGGGTAGTAATACGATACTTTCATTTTGCCCAAGGCAGCACAAGGTACGCCTCAGAATGAATTTGATAAATAATTAACCTTCTTAGGTACATATATATTGGAAATAAGATGTGTACATATTTATGTGGATGACAATATCTTACAGTTGTGAAAAATAAATGCTTTATTCTCATTTCTCATTTTACAAATGAAATATGTTTATCAATTAAGAAAATCAATGACGTTAAAAAAACATAGGTACATTTATATAATTATTCCCATGAACATCAAACAAAATCATTTTACACAAGTGAATTTTTTTTTTTCAAAATAGAGATGTGTCAAGATTTTCTTAGATAGATAGATAGGTAGGTAGGTGGGTGGATGCATGGATAGATAGATAGAATGCTTCCTTGAATAGCTCAGCAAAAGGTATAATTTATTCGGTAAACTATCTCTGTCTCTCTATATATAAACTAATGTATGTATGACAATGTATGTTATGTATGTCCTGTATGCGCTCCTACACCATTCATCCGATTGCGATAAAAATTTTGTGAGTTGTTGTACACGCACCCGCAAATTTTCTGAATTATTACAAACATTTTACAATATTCCATTTTGGGCCTGTGGCCGAGTGTCTTCTTTTTTTTTATGTGCTCAGTGCAATTTCTGTATGCGTTCCTACACCATTCATCCGATTGCGATAAATATTTTGTGAGTTGTTGTACACGCACCCGCAAATTTTCTGAATTATTACAAACATTTTACAATATTCCATTTTGGGCCTGTGGTCGAGTGTCTGCTCAGTTTAATTTCTGTATGCGTTCCTATACCATTCATCCGATTGCGGTGAAACTTTTATAAGTTGTTGTGCGCATGCCCGCAAAGGTTTCTGAATCAAGTTATCCATTTTGAAATACTTCTTTTTGGGATGGGGGCCCTAAATTATTTTTTTCTTATATGAGCTATATAAATATAATTTTAACCAGAGCTATTGCATGGGTGGATGAAATTGAATCAAATACAGATAGAGACATTTCAGTTTGTGTGTGATATAATAAGCAGGTTTCTGAATTAATACAAACATTTTACAATTTTGCGTTTGGGGCCTTATTTTATTTTATTTTTTCATTATGTGAGCTATAATATAGCCTATATTATATGGCAGTGTCTAGATGTCCGGCCACTGAACAAATAGTGTGGGAGATATTCTTCTGGTGGGCATGTCACGTAACCGCCGGACGACTAGTATGCATTATTATTTCAGCAGACATGTCATGTGACAAGAGGTCGCCGGCAAAATAAAAAAAGTTTGTTGTCTTGGTTTAAATATCTTATAAAACTCTACCTAAATTTAAAATATGAATAAAAAAAAATAAGACCAATATTTGCCAGTTGACTGTCAATAGATCTACTGTCAAAAAAGTTTTATTTTAGATTTAGGCTATTAATATTGTATGTAATGTAAGCTTTGTGAACTTTCTACCTCCCCACCTTAACTATTTATTGCCCTCACTATCATATTTATTTTTTCTCTCTCGCTCTCAGTATTTCTTCCTTCCTTGTAGTATGCATTGCTTTTCCCCCCCCCCTCCTCCCCCCCCCACTTATTTGAAATGAAGTGTATACTCGTCGCCCCCTGCCCATGCATCTCCGACGCCAGTTTTACGATCGACTATTAGTAGTATTAGCGGTCACATGCCAAGACGGACAAATATCTTGCCCAACTTTGTTACAGCGGTCATGTGACCTGGTCACCGGACGAGTATCTCGAGAATATTCGTCCGGTCGCCGGACATGTTGATACTTCGATATAAATATAGGCTAATATATAAGTATAATTTCAAACAGAGCTATACGGCTATACAGTTATGAAGTAGCAAAGAAAATAATTTTATGGAGAATTGTATTAAAGGGTCGCTGCATTAGGAAGGTTTAGAACCTGGTCTAATCTGTCTAACTATCGACTATAGCATAGTATAATAATGTGCGCACCAGATGGAAAAAAAAACAAAAAATATGTTCAATTTTAATTGAAAAATTACTTCAAAAACGTAATTAAAACACAAACACCTTTTTTTCTTTGAGCAATGCAACTATAATACATATAGAGTAGACTTGTGACAATAACAATATCTGCCAACAAGGCCAATCATAATCAATAACAAACTTTTAGATTCAGTCTTGACTGATTTTAAATAATTATTTATTATGAAGTGACTTCGCCTTCATGTAATGTAAAAATGAAGATTTTAAAATTTATTTCACTAGAAATAATTAATCGCGCTAAAATAAGGGATAACCACCTGTACTCACTACTAACTGAACAAGCTTCATCCAAATGAATTTCGTTTTAGTTATTGATTGTGTTTCAAATACTAAAAACAGTGTGGAGTTAATTTGTAAATGTGTCGCCGTCGCTATCCGACTGGCCCGTGTAGTGTCTATTGGCAAAGTTTGTCTAAATTTACGTATGCGGTTATTTATTCTTATCATTTTATGATTAGACCTCTCTATCTCTCTCTCGCTCTCTCTCTCTATATATATAGTTATACGTTATACAAAATTTAACAAGTCTAGCTGTATATCTTTTAATAATTAATGTGTAAAAAGTTGAAATAAACCTACGAGAACGGTAGCCTATCAATTTTATAGAAATGCTGCTCTATTAATTTGTTAAAATGCAATACCTTGACGTCCTTGGCCTTGATTAGCCCTAGGCCTACCTAACAAAAGAATTTTGTAGCATTCAATTTAGTACAATAAATGGCACATGATAGCTGTTTGTTTAAAACTTAAACTTACACTTATAACAATTCTTAATTAATCTATTATAATTACAATAAATGATATTAATACAATAATGGGGGCGATCAAAGAATTTTCCAAAATTGGGCAAAATCGAGTGTGAATTTGGGGCTGGGGGTAAAATTAAAATGAAGGAGGCCCTGTGCATGATTGCTTCCCCAAGTGGATGGCATTTATCAATTCATGTGCTTAAAAGTTATATTGATCACGCCGTGCACGCAGTACACAAATTATTTCTATGAATTTCAATGATTCAGTCTAGTTATTTAAGTTTGAATGAGCAGCATAAAAAATTAACAGCTAAATCATTTTTAAAAAAATACTTAATTTGCATCATTAAAAAAAAATAAAATAATAAAGCCATCGTCATGAATAATTCTATCTGAATACATTAATAAGTATTTTAACATTATTTAACATTCAATTTTGCAAGCAGGGGACATTACCCAGTATAAAGGGAGGACATAAGATTTAAAGCAATGATTTTTAAAAATAAGGTTGTCTCTGGTGTTTTAATCTTTTTGAAGAGTGCTTAAATCATGGAAAATGTTCTCCTACGTTATGAAGCAGATAGACAGGTCTTCCATAATCACATACCGATAGATACATTATGCCCCTTAACGAGCTGGGGCCATAAATTGCGGGACCCCCCCCCCCCCCACTCTAAATATCTATATTAGCTAAGTTGCTATTTATGGAGTATATTGATTTCCAATTGATATATAACGCTAAAATATGAGGGGGCAAAAAATGGGGGGCCCCCCCCCCCCCCCACTCTAAATATCTATATTAGCTAAGTTGCTATTTATGGAGTATATTGATTTCCAATTGATATATAACGCTAAAATATGTCATTTTTTCGGGCTGAGCCGTGGTGGTGTGGGTAAAACAAAGTCTTATCAACAGAGCCTAAAGCTGATGATTTGTACCTCGGTTCTTGGACTAGGGTACACCACATCACTAACTCGACACTCAGTCCTTTTTTACTACCGGTACCGGTTATTAAAAAGTCTGCAAGTGAAATTTTAGGTCAGGGAATCCAAACTTTTTAACTTTTTTTTTTATTTTTAAAGTTCATCTCATTAAATACTCTGTGCTAAAAAACATTCTATTGATGAGGCCAATTAGCTCAATAACAAGATTGCCGTTAAGTATAAGGCGTAAGGGAAGTGGGAAACCCCCAAGGTTATGGAAGTTATTTTAGGTATGTCATATTACTCATAGTGATGTTATTAGGGTGAGATAAGGGATTCACTGAAGTAAAATAGCCTGGGCATCTCTTTACCTCTGAAAGTCCAACTCTTGAACTCTTAAAGGCCCCACTACATCTTTAATTAGGGGAGTGCCATCTGGTTAGGTAAAAGGAATTAAGTCTTAATCTTGTGCTACTTATTTCCTTGTACATCTTTATAAGAATAGAAACTATCATTTTTATACTGATTTAGCTTAGTTGCAGCATATAAATCAAGAAATCTAGGCAGATGGCCTCAATAAATTTCTTCCAACATTCAAACTTCACCTGACAAAAGGATACCAAACACAGATTTTAATTTAGAATGTTTTAAGCCTTTTTATTATGCATTAAATATTTACAACATTTAAAGTAATATTATTTTGGTTTAAGTTGTACCTTGTTCATTTTTACTTTGAACTTTGCATAATTACAGGCAGTTATGAGTGGACAATATATCTTCTAGTCCTGGTGTGAGGCATCCATTTTAATCTTCTACTTCCATTTATTTTGTAAAGCTTTAAAAAATTTTAGTAAGTAGACATACAATAGCTAGGTCCATTTTTAAATAAAACCATCAAAAATATATATACAATAAAATAATTGGACGGAACATTTTTCTGTGTCAAATAAGCCATTAAGTAAGAATAAGAATATTTCCATAAGTAACCTCTTAAACATTTATTTATTTCATAGATTTTTTTAAAAGATGGAAAAGTAACAATTGAGAGAGATGATTTTAATTCATTTTGTTTTAAACTTTAAAATATCAATTTATGTTTTTTCAAATAGAGTAATTGCTTACCTTGATATGCACATGGAATGATCCTTATTATTTGTAAACAAAATAGAAACATAATAAATACAATTCTTCATTAAAAAAAAAAAAAATCCATGGGTAACTTCCTGTCACTAGAGGTGTATGTAAATCATTTTATTTATAAAATGACAAAACAAATTTAATCTAAAGAGTTTAAAGAGTATCTTCAAATTTTAAAATTTCTTGTTTATTTTGTTAGTTTGTAGATACCAAAATGAACAATTTAATAATCTGATGGTTGTTGAGACTGGTTCTAACTGTCATTGCACATATTTTCTGATAAGACTAATTCTGACTTAGAAATAGTTTTTTTACAGTAGAAGGAAGAAAAAAAGGGACATTTTCAGGTGCAATAATGATGAAAGCTTTTCTGGATTACTGCTAAGCTTAGCAGCAGGTGTTTGTAAGCTTCGTGTTGCATGGAGCCATTGTGAGGTATGGGATATAACTCTTGCAAATAAAAAAAAATATTTTAAAATATCACAGTTAATCTGAAAATACTATTTCTGAATAAAGATTAAATCACGACTTCTAAAAAAATCAGAGTTACTTATTATGAAATGCTTAATCTGAATAAAATATATAACATCAGAGTAAACATTGAGCTGCCAAGATGCAGAAAGAACATAAATATTGCAGATAGCAGTACAACATGATACAGATAAACACACACCATAGACATGTTTTCAGTTAATGAGGAGAGTGCTGAACAAATGAAACACTCCCTTTCAGAGCCAATTCTTTTTAACCACAAAAACACACACACATATATAGATAATATATTGATTAAAATAATTTTTTTTATTTAAACAAAAATTTTTATTTCATTTGGTCATGTAAGCAGTTCATTTTTTTTACGACTAGAAACATTGCATACATATTAAAACTAGCATTTAAAAAGTATTAGGATGTTTACTAATAAAATCCATTAAAAAAACAATTAAGGAATTTAATATAGATGGCAAATAAGTAAAATATTTGCTAAACAAAATGGAAATAGAAATATTGTGCTTAAACACTGCTAGTATTCACTTTAACGACTTTAAAATGATCTCACAATGCTCGGAAAACACGTTTAAATATGACCATCACATCTTTTTTTAATATTATGATTTTGAATTATTTGATGGGTCTATAGTGTAGTTGATACTCACTGATACTGATATTTAGAGTTGATGATTTAAAGATGACTCATGATTGAATATTAACACAATGTCATAAAAATATCACATATCAAGTGTCTCCGCACTTTGTTAATTTGTGGATGTGTATGAGCGGTGCTCAGGATTGAACAACTTTGTGGTTTAACAAACTGATGGTTTTCAGTTATTTATTGTTGGATTTTATACACTGCCCTATGCAATCCCTTTATCATTAAAATAAACCAATACACCTGAGGAGCCAATATCAAAAGACATGAAAAGTTGCACTTCTTTGGGATGACATAGGGTACATCAAAGAATGAAATCCCAGCATATTGGGCATACTTGTAGTAAAGATATGGGAAGGCAGCCAGTCGGCAGATGAAAAACATGACTATCATGGAAAGGCTTGTGTAGAAGTATAGTCGAGTGTGTTTCATATTGAGCTGTAAGGTGCAGAAAACAAGATGTTTCATTTTCTTTGACTTAGTGAAGTCTAAAATTTCATGGCTATGTAATGTTTTTGTTTTAAAACTGATATTATAATTTTAATGAAGGATTTATCATATCACTTTTTTTTGTTATTATAATTGATATTATGTTTAAAAAGCGTGCACTACGTTTAAGCTTTTTATGCACACATAATCAAAAGATTAAAATATGACTATGTGGCATCAAATTTTATAACACAATGCATAAATTGGCATCAAATACCTGTAAGAGGATTTCTCTTGCTGATATAAATGGTACTACCATCTCAATCATGAAGAAGGCTCCAAAGAAAAAATCTCCTTTGTCTTCTCTGTATATCTAAATGGTTCAGAAAATATATATGCTGTTATTTCAAATAATTTATAATGAAGCAGTTATTTACCTTCTTACCCAAATTCTATGCTTTGAATAATAAAAATAATTTTTTTTCCCTCCATATAACTTGTTTTCAGACCCGACTTCCAAAATTTTGTTTATTAATGTTTCCTTCATCTTAATTTATTAATAACTGAAATTACTTATGATGAATGAAAATTAAACCACTTACAAGTACAAGAGGCAATAAAATGCTTGGTAGCAATAAATGATGAGCTACCATCAAAGCATTTTTATAAACAAACATCTTTATCCTCTGAAATGTGTCCAGTTTTTCATAAAGATGGTCATTGACACGTACATGGTAGGAATACATTGCCCACATATCATATAAAAAATAAGGCATTCCGAAGTAGACATAAGCATTTGTTAACCAGTGTCTGAAATTATAGGAGAAACTGTTGATTTAATGTGCTAATGTTTCAATAATGTCATCAATTATTGATAAATGACAGCAGTTAACGATTGCATCAGCACAGACCTATTTTTCTTAACGAAGTGGCTATCCATACCCGGGTACCAGAAGTGAGAGGTTGGGATTAAAAAACTGTTTAAAATTTTATTGTTTGGTGTGTAAGACAAAATGAGGTATCAAATGAAAGATATTTGAATGTCATCTTCATAGTCACAGCCTTTTCTAAAAGTAATCTAGTTTAACAACAATATTTAAATAAAAGTTTTTAAACATAAAATTTGAGTAATATCTGCTAAAATTACTAGCCTTAGTTCAGCAATCAAGATTTAACAAAATCTCGTTTAGTTATACTTACGTATCTTTCATTATATCATTGCAAGATGAAGTAATTATGATTCCTGCTGTAGATGCAATTATTCCTTGCACTGCGCTAACTAACCTGTAATTAATGTCATCTTCATTTAGTATGTAACAGTGAGCTACTTTACTTTAACAAAACTACTTGACCTTGAAAACTAGCTTTCCATCATAAATGATAAATCATATAGTTATAACTAAAAAAGGGGTCCACATTTTTTGTATTCCTCTTGAACATCTCCAATGAACATTGATTATGTAAAGTACCCCCCCCCCCCCACACACACACACACACAACCCGACGGTCTGCGATGGGTGGGGAACCTCTAGCCAAATCATTTGTTCCAGCCTGCAAGTGGAATTCAAAATGAGTTGGGTTTTTTTCATACTAACATCAATTTATGAAAAGTGAATCAAAATGATGATGTAAATTTTATTTTTTAATGGGACAAGCAGTGACCCTCAAGACCGCTTCTTGTGAAATTCATAGTGTGGTGAGGTTACACTGATAGCCAGAAATTCTGGAAGTGTACGCATACAAAAAAATAATATTTTGGATGATAAACCTCATTCTGCTGGCTTATATACTCTTTTTTTAATATTCATATTGGGTAATATATTTAAAAAATTGCACATCTCACAATTTTTGTATTAAAAGGCTAATTAACTCTTCATCATTTTTGTAAAGTAAATTATATTGAATAATGTAATAAGTATTGTACTGGAAAACTTAAAGTTGTGTAGCCAATTTATATTTTAGCCAGCTTATTATTTAATCAAAAGATGAAGATATATTTATATTTAGTGTGTTATTACTCATGCACTACCAATAAGTAAATAAATGTGACATGTAGAGTTAGTTCTCAACTAGTTGGACAGCAGCTTTGTATAAGAACCCTGAGTACTTTTCAAACTTGGCTAAATCGGTGTGAGCCCCTTGATTGAAAGTAAGGGATCATTAATCTTTAAATCCAATGGTTCACAATGTTTGCGCTGAGACTTTGCCAAAGGCTCTGATATTGGCAAAATATTAATTTAAAAAAAAATTATTTTATTTTCATTTCCAAATCAATGTGATAGGACACAATATCTAGCAGACCTGGTGCAAACCAATTTCTCACTTATAAAATAAAACTGTTTGCAGGAGCCTTTACAAATATTTGGAAGTACAATAATTGCTACTGTACAGCATTTACTTGTTAGAATTTGACAAAGAATACCTTGTGGCTTGACAAAACCTGGATTCAGAATCTCAGGCATCTGCAAGAGCGTTTAAGAATCTAAAATGTTTGTGAGCCAATGTTGACTGTTAGTTATTTTATGAAGTGAAGAGGATTCAATATAATTATAATGTAAATACAAGGACTATATTTGAATGTGAAAACCAGGCCCTGTCGTTCCTATGAGTATGAGCGCCCACCACCCCTTTCCTACTTAAATTTCATTATTTATTAATTTTTAGAAAATCAAGAATATACATGACATAATATAGTAGTTAGTAGTAATAGTATTAGTTCCTAAGTCCTAAATATTAGTTATAATTAATTTTAATAAATTAAATATATTTTTTAAACTTAAAATTAAATAATTTTATTTTAGGGAAGTATAGTCATAGTAGGTACAGGGACAGCAGCAACATAAATTAAATATTTCACAATTTTGATCAATTTTTAAATTTAAAGTTAAATAAATATAGTTAATAATAAGTTTAAAATTTAATGGCAATGGGCTCAGTGGCCAAATGAAATACTAATACAGTATAATCTGAGTATATCATAGTTATGCTACTGTAACTGTAACTATACTTAAACAACTTAAAGTATTAGTATTAGTATACTTAACTTGGGAAGGACTTGAATAACTTTTAAACTTTTAACTAAATAATAAATTACTAGTAGTACAAACATTTTTTTAACTCACCGACAAGACATTAGATAAATACTGGCTTCTGATAATATTTGATTACCTATACAACCTTTATAATAAAGAAGTTTCCTTATTATTACATGTGAACTGACAAAAAATAGAGTTCCAAATCCTGAAATAACGATACCATGCATTTTCCTTGTTTAACTTTTTATTGAATTCGATGTTGTTACAGATGCCTTGTTGATTGTTTACTATTGCTTTTCCGGATTTGTTTTTTTAAAATCTATACCAATTTAATCCACATTTTTAAGTTACTTCGCGTACAAACAATGAGTGACAAAGCTGTGGTTAATTATTTTTAAAAAGAGTTTGGGTAGAGATTGTTGCTTTAAAAGAGTCTGAGTAGCTAACTTTTAAAAAAAAAATAATCTATGATACTCTGTCAGTGTATTCAATAGAAATATTGGTCATTGCCATCGAGAAAAAGCATATTTACACTAATTAACAGTACCGGTAAAGTGATTGAGTGAACACTACAGTACTCAGTACTGACTACAGTCTACAGTGAAGTGAACGGTACACACTACTCACTACTCTACACTCAAAGTCTATGGTCCAAAGACCGTCGGCAGTTGGAGGTTTGCATTAATTACCAATACTAATTAATACACAAAGAATACTAATGAAATGATAGCCTAGGGGAAACCACGAGGGAATATATTATAATCCATTCTGTTAGAGTACACCAGACAATTTATATATGATATGGAGAACAAATTAATATTAATTAATGGGATACATAATTTAACATACCTGCACCTGCAATTTTATAATTAATAATCATTTACTGTTATGCACTACACTTCTTCTTTTGAATGTATGTGGTGAATTTTATGCTTTATTTTATTTTTAGAGTATTGGTAGGTAAATATTGTGCTAAATTTAATTTCATGTAATCTTGTTTTTTTTTTTTTTAGCGGTATGCAGGTTTGGGCTGTTACAGATCATTTACTTGGGATCTTTTAATTGTAATATTATCATTCTTTTCAGAAATGCCAAGAGTATCTAAAGGAAAAGGAGGTGGAGACATTTCTAAGTTAGAAGCTAAAAGTGAATCAAGTAACAAAAATGAAGTGAAATTAGAAATTAAAACAGAAGTTAAAGGAGAAAAAGCAGACAGTGCCACAACCACTTCAAAGTCAAATGAAATCAAAACTGAAAAAGAAAAACCATCAGCCTCTTCAAACAGTCAGAGTCAAAGCCCAACATTATCAGCAGGATCATCAACAGATGAGGTGAAAGGAGCTATTGGTAGTGTTCCACCATCATCTAGAGAGAAAATACAGACACTCCTTGGAGACTTGTTTATCAACATAAAAGATATTCAGGTGATATACTTCTTCAGTACATGGATTTGTAATCTGTAATTTTTATAATCACCTAGTAAACACTAGGCATTTGCTAAATGGCATATAATTATTTTTTCATTTTTGTTGTCTTACTTATTTGTAGCTTAATGAATAACAGATCTTGCTTCTTTGAACATGAATATGCTATTCAGATTTCGAAAGGTCTTCGAAGGTTTGGGAAAAATAAATAACAATTTCCAAGTCCCTGAAAGTTTTGGAAAGTAGGCAAAAATCATCACGGTCTTTGAAAGTTTGGTAAAAAAAAAAAAAAAAAAATTAAAAAAAAAAAAAAAAAAATTAAACTAAAAAAAAAAAAAAAAAATGGCTGTCTCCATTTAAATGACATGTGGAGTCTGTATTTCTTATTGATCGGTTATCCTGCAAGAAAGAAATTTGTTGATTGGTCAGTAAATTTCTTTATTAAGCCAGTCAAATTATTCTTAACTAGTGTGCAATCGCATGATAACTTCGTCTGTTTTGACCAGGCCTACATATTCTTTACTAACATTTGATGGCTTTCGTTATCATTTTCGATTTGGATTAGCGACATTCCTGAATTTTCTATTGAAATCCTTAAAATCTGTGGAACTGTTTACAATATGAAATAATCCCGGAATTTTTTCTTTTAAATATGTATGGCCCGATAAGTCAGAATACAAGTTATGGCAAAAAAAAGTAGCGAATGACAAGAAGAAAGCCTAGCCTATTGCCTTCACAATGTTTGTACAAAAAAACATTGATAGTTCATCGATGGGCAAAGGAGCACTGAATAGCCATTCAAAGGGTGAGCTATATTAACTTAAACCTAAATATTAATTCACTTAGCGAAGTAAACATTTGGATGATGTTAAAATTAAAATTTTTCTCTTTTCTGGTTTCTTTTACATGATTATTTAAATGAGCTACTAATTTGGCTAATACAAATAATTTTTTTCCAGACTTAAGACTTAAGGCTACCAGTTAATTTTAATATGATATTTATAATATTATATCAGGTTAAGGTTAAGCCTATAATAATTTGTTGTTTGTTATATTTTAGGAAAAAAGCTCATTCATAATGGTAAACTCAGGTATTCCTTTGATTCCCAATAAGGGATTTAAAAAAAATAAAATTAATAGTGCTGACCCAGTACCATTATGATCAATACCACCATCATGAAGGGTGGTTTGGGGGTGGGGGGTGCCTCCTCCCATAGACATGGATCAATATCAAAACATGTTAACATTCAGACTTTCTGCACAAAAATGGAAGTGAAGTGCTGAATGCTGAAATTATTTGCACAATGTGCCTGGGTGTAACCCAGTGCAATATAAATAATCATTCTTCCCACGCACAATAATCGCTTGGAACCACCTGGACAATGCCGCCGTGGACTCAACATCAGTCGAAAGCTTCAAGGCTGCCCTGGCATCTGCTAGGAGCTGTTAGGATAGAAACATCGCTTCCCCAACTGTTGCATATATGCCAGTATATGGATGCAGCAACGAACACTACCAGAACCAGATGAAATGTCTAAATAGCCATTACAATTACAGCTTTAAATCTTACAAAGGCACTGCAGATTGTTTCAACGCCATGTTACCTACTTGTGAAATAGCACAAATTTTTGCATGTGCTGATATAGTCTGCATATCTCAGCATTTTTAATAAAGCACCCTACTTTGCTTACATGCTTTAAAAAGATATAAAAGCTGTTTCTACTTATGTCTACGTTTTTATGTTTGACTAAACAATGAACAACCAGATACAAGAAGGGCAAATGGATATTTATGATCACATCAGGGATGTAAATAAATTATTTAATTTTTCCCACTCATCTCATTTTCTTAAACATGCCATTGCTGAAAGCTTGTTAAAAAATTTCAGTCCAATCTTCACAGATCTTGGACACAGGGACTTTTTACAAATGTTAATGGATGGGCCTTCAGTGAACTGGAAACTCACGTTAGAAAAAGAAACTGAAGATCTGGCTGAGATAAACTGTTAAACATAGGGAGTTGTGGGCTGCATATTCTACACAAGGCTTTCTGTATTAGATGCACTGCAGCCTCATGGGTCATGGAAAATGTGCTTATCAAGAGCTATAACTGATTTGGTAATAGTGCTGCTAGAAGAGAGTATTTTACAATCATCACAGATACTTCTGTATTTTCATTTAAGTTTTGTAAGCACAGGTTATATTTTAAAAAACCTTTGATTCATAAAGCGGTTGTGATATGTTCCATTTTATTTTCGTACCGGTAACATATGAAACAGATTTGTTAAAACTGATTCCTGTTACATTTAATCTTTAATTTTGACATTGTAACAAAGTTTTTATTAATTGCAGGTGACTTGAAAATACTGACCCAGCTGATGGAGCTATCCTGATGGTACAAATCTGGAAATCTGTTAAAAGCAAAAACCTGTCCCAAGCCTTCTTGCAAATCCTTTAAGGATGTCGGCTGTGTCTTAAAAGAACCTCTCTTAAAGGCAAAGCTGCATGTTTTACGGTGGTTGCTCGAGAATTACAACCATTTCTTAAGATATTCCAAACAGACTAGACCCAAAAGACAAGCTGAACAGAAAAGCTAAATTGACCTGTGTCCTCAGAGTGATGTGTGAAGCAAATGAGCGAAGAGTTAAAGTGTGACACCATCTTGGTACCGGTATGAAAAATATGCTGAATCCATCATCACAGTCAATTCATTGGAACACATACATTTCTCCCCTTCCTAAACCAGGGTTGATGATTTTTTTCTAATAAGCTGTCCACAGTAAAAAGGAGTTTTATGAGCTGTGGGTTATTTTTCAGCAACTCTTTTTGTTACCTCATGGTCATGCGACAGTAGAAATTAGGGTTCTCTGTGGATTAAGAGGTCAGTGTTCACAATTTAAACAGTGAGAGTCTCTGTGCTCAAAGACTGATAATTGATCACGTCAGAAGAGCTGAGAGTCTCTGTGCTCAAAGACTGATAATTGATCACGTCAGAAGAGCTGAGAGTCTCTGTGCTCAAAGACTGATAATTGACCACGTCAGAAGAGCTGAGAGTCTCTGTGCTCAAAGACTGATAATTGATCACGTCAGAAGAGCTGTGCGACCTCATAAAGTTTCCACAAGAAAAAGAGTTCTCAAAATTTTCCACATCAGCAAGGATGAAATACACCTTGTGCTTGTATCCGGAAAAGCAGTAAGAGTAAAAATGTATTAACCATGAGAAGAAAGTTTGAGATTAGATGAAGTGCTGGAGTTAAAAATACCCCAAAAAACCAACAAAAAAAAAAAGCTTTGGAATCAGATGTAGCCAGTCTAGTTACATTAGCCAACAGCAAGGCCAAAGAGCTGAACTGAAAAGAGACTTCCCTTGTTATCAGCGCTTAAAATGCATTGCAAGAAAAGGCATCTGTCCATAAACTTACTGCTGACAAGAGAAAGGGGGTGGGGGAATGTCTAAAACAAAGAAATATTTTTAATGTACCTAATGATGTGTTATTTGTGTAAATATTAAATGGACTGGTTTAATAGAATATAAATCAAGCTGAACATTTTTTGTTGTTGTTCAAAGCCTCTGGATACAACTGGGTGGCCATGATGTTTTTAAATATTTTATCTAGATTAAACAATATCTCTGCAAGGATAAGCTGGCTATCATGTATATATTGTATATAATTATAATTAAAAGTAATAAAGAATTTTGTACCTAAGCTATAATTAGTTGAGTTATTTTTTGTGGGGGAAAAATTTGTGAATTCTGTGTCTGTGTAAGAACCCTGGTTAGGTTATATTTTTAAGCCCATTAAATGAGTTAACATTTTAAAAATATTGCTATCAAAAGTAGTGAAAAACGGTAATGTGAAAGTGTTCTGTTAAAATAGCCTGAACTCGGAGAACTTTTGGTGCATTTAGATTAGGAGCCGTCCGTTTGTGTACAAATTTGTGATGATTGTGTGGGGTTGTAAAAATAAAATCTGTATAATAGTGTGACATCATTTATGGATGGCCCCTTAAATTGATTTGGTTGTGCATTAACCAAGTTAGATGAGTGCTCCCTTTAACTACTTTAAGTTTTTCCATTTCCCATAGCTGCCAGTTTATGATTACTTGTGTTATTGTTTGTGCTAGGACCATTCAAGAAATAAGTTAACCCTACATGTTGCAGTGATGCATTTGGCAACATACCAATCAAAGAGGGATAAGAACTGTATATTTAAATCAGTACTAATTTTTAAGTGGCCTACCTTTAAGTTTTTTCATTTCTCATAACTGCCAGTTTATAATTACTTGTGTTATTGTTTGTGTGTTAGGACTATTCAAGAAATAAGTTAAAGATAAATTATGTTAGTTATTTTTTTTTGTTTTTGTAAACACACCAAATGTAACCTTTGTTTCATTATTGTGTTTTCTTCTCGTAGGTTGAGAGGGACAGAGCAGAACACAATTTGACCAACATAAACAAGACCCATGAGAAGGTGCAAGAGGAAGGCAAAGGTATTTGCTTTAACATTTAAATGTTTCAAATTTACATCGAGGTGTTGAGTTGCAAAACTGATGTAACATTGTTTTTATATTTTTTCTCCATTGAATTGTTCTCACTTGTCAAATGTTTTATTTACGGCTAAATCCTTAATCATGACTTCACAATTTTTCTTATTTGTTTTTAAATCTCATTTTTCAAAAAAACTTTTCTTCAGTCACTCCTTACTATAGACAAAAGCTAAAGTCATTATACAGTGCTGCTACAACAGATGCGGAAGCTGAAGCTGAGTGAGTAACAACAGTAGTTTGGTTGAAAAGAATTGACTTCAGGACAAAATTATACTGGCTTTTTCAAAATACAGTGGGACCTCGGATAACAAACGCCCCCTTTTATCAAATAAATTGGTTGACGAACAAATTTGTTGAAAATATTTTGTCTTGGTTAAGGAACAATAATTTGGGTTACAAACATACACATACCACTGTACACACAATGGCATCGACTTGGCAGTTATTGTTTGTCCACGTGCTGTGTTAAAAAAATCCTTCTTTTTGCTGCTTTTGCAGTTTTTGTGTCCCTTTAGCCCTCTTTGTGGCACCTAATGAAAAAAAGTGTTATTAATAGGAATTGTGTTAGGTGTGGAAATAAGTTTTATTACAACATGATAATAGCCTGTGTGTGTCTGACACTTGCCAAGTGATACAATATGGTAAAAATCAGTGATTTGTGCTATTCTTAAGAACAATGAGGTGATTGATTATGGCCAAAAGAGTGACTGTCTTAACAAAGCAAATGTCTAAATTGCTAGAGAGAGTAGAAAATCTGTTGTTTCTTTAGATAAAAGAAAACAGCTGGCTGTATTAATGGCAAGACAATAGTTTGTGAAAAGTCATAAAAGTAAAAGGCTAGGCAGGTGCACAGTGATTTGTTGGCCAAAACAAAGAATACTGAAGACTTTTAAGTGAGTAAAGGGGAGTTGGATAAAGTTTGCAGAAGAAGAGGACTTTCTAAGGCTGGAACAGATTGATTGAATTCAAATGGATTTCATTTAAGAGCAGAGTCCCGGAACAAATAAAGTTCATTATCATAGGTTTCACTATCTAATGTCCTTAAATGTTTAAACTGTATTTTCAGCATACTATTCAATACTGGTCTGTCTATTAATACCCTTTGAAAATTACTTTTTTTACAATTTTTTAAACACTATGCAGTAGATGTCAATAATTGTAAAGAAAAAAACAACTTATGTTTGCATGCATATTTCAAATGTAATTTTGCATGATGCTGCCATTTCCTGAAAGCTAAATTTTTAAAATTTTCACTGCATACAGGGTGATAAGGGCAGCATTGGAGAAAATAAAAGAAATAAAAAAATTGCAAGAAAAGTCAGCAAAACAGAAACATGGTGAGTTCATAAGTTTTCACCCAAAATTTTAACCTAACACAGGGGTCTCAAACTCAAATCATTAGGGGGCTGCATAAGGTAGAGTCTGAGTGAGACTGGGTCACATCAAGTATCCCACAAAAAAGCGATAACAAATTTTAAAAAACGGTTACAATCTGCTCAACCTTTATTAATAAATAAAAACATCAAGGGTTCTCAAAAACTAGGCTTCATTTTCTTCCTCCTACTCATTGTTCTGGCAGTGCTTCTTGCACAGCTGAGCAACATTTGGCTTGAGTGAGGAAGCAACTGAGGAACTCAGTATAGCTTGAAGATGTTCAACAGTAAGTTTACCCCTGAACTTTGACTTGTTAATGTTCATAGTGGAAAAGAGCTTTTAACACAGATAGGTTCACTCAAAAAAGGGCACATGATCCGCTTGAACAACCTGCAACTCTCAGGGAAGGTGGGGGGATATGCTTTCATAAATTCTCCATGCTTGTCCTTTTATCCATTCACCTCCCTGAACTTAGAATTCCACTGAAGATCAATCAGCTTCATTTGAAGCACAATTAGGGGGGTGGGGGGCATCTTCCACATTAAAGGAGAAAGGGTCAGTAAAAATTTGAAAAGTGGCTCTGTGTGTTTTGAGTCTGCAAAAATGTGATTAAATTCTTCTTGTAGCTTTGCAATGGCATCAGAATACTTACTATTGAATGGTGTGCCCGAGTCCATGAGTATGTTACATGTTGGAAAATAATAGAGGTTTCTCTAAGAACCATAACACACGTTTTGTGCAGAATGCCCTAACATTGTCATTTGTAACACTGACAAGCTACTCCTGGTCTTGTAACTTCTTGTTGAGTACATTCAGCTCCTATGTAGTGTCAACAAGAAAAGCCAAGCCAATTAGCCATTTGGGATTCCTTAGTACAGGAACAACCACCCCATCCTTCTCCATGAAGGCTTAGAATGCTAAAAAGTGTTCAAGCAGTAGGCAGGAGCTGACAATATTTATAAATTATTGATGCGAAGGAAGATGCTATTGTAGGAAGAATGAATTTTGATATTTCTATCCTAGAATAGGCCCTTTTGACTTGCCCTATTTTGAAAATGGCCAAGCTGATAGACTCGGATTTTCCCTCACTCGTAAACACTAGCAGCAATTTTAATATGGATTCTTTGATAGTGTGTCAGATTGCTACAATTTACACAATTTTGGTTGTGCATTACCCACTAACTGACTTTTTAAACTTTTCTCAAAACGGAACATTGGCCATGTTTGTCTCATAAAATTCTATTATGTAAAAACTTTAAGTGCATTTTAAAATGGTTATTACCAGCATAATCAAACTCCAAATCTATACAAACATAATAATAATGGGAATTAGACTAGTCAGTGAGATTCGACTGAAACCGTTGCGGAGGGTCACATTGTAATATGAGAATGGGAAAATGCACGGGCTGCATTAACACTCAACTTTGCTGTCATGTAGTGGGCCGCAATATATCGTCTTGGGGCCGCAAATGGCCCGCGGGCCGCAAGTTTGAGTCCCCTGACCTAACAAATATTTCTGAGTAAGAAATTATGTGGAGTTAATAATAATTAACTTTAACAAAAAATGTTGATCTCAGATTCAGGGCGCCCCAAGCAGATTATGCGTAGAGGAGTACTAATGTCACAGTTGCAACAGAATGCTACAACTTTGCCATTGTGGGTGAGCAAGCCTGGGGAGAGGTAGGAATTTAAGATTATAAAGGATCTTTCTTTAAATTAGTATCTGATACCACATAAGGCAATTGGTAAGGCAATGTCAGTCATATAAAAAATTTATAGGTTTGGTGAAATATATTTATAAAACTTTTTAAAAGTGTAATTGCCAATATAACTTTAAGATATTACAATTGTATAAATGCTACTCTGCTAATTACTGCAAACTTTGCAAACAATGAAAACATTGCTGTCTCACAATTAATGAGGAATGAAAGTTGAAACTAAACTTCAGCAAGAAGAAAGTTACTATGCTAAAAAAGATGTATCTCATATGCCACAGTGTTTGGCGCTATTACTCTATTGATCTTTATTTTCGAAACTGAATCATGTATGAAGATATTATAAATAAATGACATTAAGTTAAATATAAAGTTATAATTACTTACTATTTTTTTAAAAACCTGCTAAAAGCCCTCCACCTCTGTGTGGCGCTGTCGCTGCTGACGGTAACTACATCTCACAACCGGAAGACAAAGTAGCAGCCCGTGTCAAAGGTCAGGATGGTGAGGAAAACTGGATCCTAGCTGAGGTTGTTCATTTCAATGCTCACACTGGCAAGTATGAGGTTGATGATGTGGATGCAGAGGAAGGCAAAGAGTGAGTTCTTGAAATTTTTTTCATACATTATAAAGTTTAGTTTATGTTTGTATAGAAAGTTAGAGAATTTTAGCATTTAAATTCATAATCTCAATCATTTTTAAGATTAAGCTGTATAGTTAAAGTTAATGAAGGTCAGTCAAATGGTCACTCTTACTGTCTCACATTGAAAGTCGAAGGCAAAAACTATGTATAGAAAAATGACTTTTTCCGTTTTATTATTATACTATAGAATATAGAGAAAAAAATCTGAATAGATTTCCATCATTTAAAAAGCAAGTCCAATGTGCATTGTACAAACTGTTTACTCTTCTTTAAAACACACAGCCAATGATTGAATGGTTATAATTATAATATTAATGAATTTAAAAAGTTTAAATTGTGCACTGGGCTTGATTTTGTCGGTAAATTCCAGAGTTGGATGGTAATTTCTTCCCCTAAAATATTAAGTTTGTCTTCTCATCCTAGACGTCATTCCATAAGTCGACGTAGAGTTGTCCCCCTTCCCATTTGGAAGGCGAACCCTGAAACCGATCCTGGTGCTTTGTTTGCTAAGAAAACTGTGAGTATTGATATGAACTTATCCCATTTATTTCTACCAATAGATATTTTCACTTTGAGTTGTGCATTGATATTTACTTGACTAGTTTATTTCTGCTATTAGATATTTAATCTTTGAGTTAAGCATTGAAATGAATTGTAGGCTACAATTTTAATGGAAGTACTAGTATTAGTAGGTTGTTTTTTTTTCCTTTTAAATACTGTATTTAAAAAAACTTGAATCAGCTTTTCTACTCATTTTCAGCTTGTGCTTGCCCTTTATCCACAAACAACCTGTTTCTACCGTGCTTTGGTGGATGAACCCCCCAAAAAGGTTAGAAATTAACGAATTTTTGTTAGACGAATGACACCTTTATGTCATTATAAAAAAACGGTGCTAGTAGCACACATTTTTTCTCACTCCCAAAAAAATCTTATTGTACTTTTAAATATAAATTCTACAGTAATTCAACTTATCAATGCCTGAATAAATTGATAACTTACCACATTAGGCTGGCACTAAACAGTTATACAATGAGAGTATTTGGCTTAACGTTATTTCAATTTGCTTAAATTTGGCATAATTGTTACATTTCAGATGCACAAATCAAACATTAATAGAACTAATGTCTTCATAGTTATAATTCTTCACCATGGCCTCAAGCTGAAGGGCACATGCCCAACACACTACTGGATCTGAAGGATGGTGATGATCATATAGTTACAATTTTTGTGATCATTCAGATCCATCGGCCATTTGGGCACGAGCCTGCGGCCATGGTGAAGAATTTAGACACACTCTGCTGCTGTTGGTTTAGTCTGGTATTTTTGGTAGATGGTTTAGGCCTAAGTCTTGAAGTTCTGGGCTGTGGAAGAGGTGATGTGTAACTGTCTCATCTGGATGTTATCTGGATGTTAGCTGGATGTTATCAGGATGTTAGCTGGATTTTAGCAGAGGAGGCACGAATCTGGTGCGAATTAAATTGTATGCCTCCTGTGCGCAGACGAAAGATTATGACCTGTTCATGTGTCAGGAGTAAGTTTATTGGATCTTTGGGGTCCAGGCTGGGCATGTGTGTGAAAACACATCTTCCTGTTGAGCCCATAGCCCATCCTTTTAACCATTCTTTTTTGTTTAGCTCTGATAATCTGCTATGCAGTGTCGAGTGATGTAGGTGTGTTTTGCTGTTCATCGGATACTCACTCTCTGTTCTGTTAGTTTGTCTACTCCTTCATTTCCTGATATATTTTGTTGTCCTGATATCCACTGTAAAATTAGCTTGAATGCATAGGTTTTGAGGAAGGTGTTTATTTTCAGAAGTGGTGCTTTTACCATTGTGTTGTTAGATGTTGATGCTCAGCTGCTTCAAGTATTGATTTGCAATCTGAGAAGACGAACACCATTTCTTTGTTTGCTGGGATGAACTGTGAAGATTCCAGATAAGTGGTGTAGCGCTGCTTCAATAGTAGTCGCCTCTGCTTCATAATTACTGTAGATCACCCCACAGGCATTCCAGAGTTTGTCACATGATTGCTCTGGATACCTTATCTGTATGCCATTTGTACGCATGTAGGGATCATATGAAAGCTGTATATCTTGTGCTCTGGTTTCTAGTGCATGTATCATTGTGTAAGAGGGTCTGTACTTTCTTGTCTATCTTTTCCATTAGATCTGTTTTGATGTAATCCATTTGTAAAGGGTGTTTGGGGATAGGTCTCTTGGTATGATTTACAAGTCTTCTCTGTCTGCTGGTATGTGGTGTTTCTCTTTAATTTCAGAGGCCATATCTGTTGTATTCTATGGTTTGATCTACATTTTTTCAACCACTTGTTTATTTGGATGTTTTTGTGCCGTCACAATTGCTGCCTCTCTTCAAAGATTTAGTGGCTCCATATTTGTGTGTATTTTCCCTGCTGCTGTTGAGGTAGATGAAGCCTGGCTTTGTTCTTTTCATAGAGTACTGCAGTGTATTCCATCACTGGTTGCACATATCCTATGATAACTCGCGCAGCATTGTCGTGTCACTGCCCCATGAGGTACTGGCCAGCCTTTTAACAAGCTTTAGCCGTCTAGTTGTCAAGTTTTTTTTTTACATGCTTTTTTTAAATTGAGTAGGCCTTCTTTATCAAACTGGACACCTGGATATATTGGGTTGTCTTCTTTTTGTAGTATGTTGCCTTTTACTTTTAGGGATAGTAAGTTCTGCCTTATAATTACAATACAAAAATCCAACCATGAACAGCATGCCTATGAACAGCATGCCTATGAACAGCATGCCTATGAACAGCATGCCTATGGCTGTTTGAAACACACAGATTTCTTCCTGCTCTAGCAAGTGACCCTGCTTCTTGTCTTTTTTTTTCATCAAGTATCAATATTCATTTTGGATTTTTAAAAACAAATGTCCATGGATCAATAATTAATGATTTTTGTTTGACCATTTAGCCGCAGGATGACTACTCAGTCCTGTTTGAAGACACATCTTATGCCACCGGCTACTCTCCACCGCTGATGGTGCCACAGAGATATGTTATTGCCTGCAAAGAAGATAAAAAGAAATAGATTTCAGATGATCCTGCACTGTGAATGGATTTCAGGGATAAAGCTATTTTTAGGATCGCGCATAAATTAGATGACAAAATCAAACAATATTTTTTAATATATGTTAATAATTATAAACTGTAAAAATTTATGTTATGTTAATTTTAAACTAGCCAATATACCCAGCTATCCTTGGGTTTGTATACTGAAAAAAAACTTTCAAAGTGTTTATCAGCGTACACTTAATTATACCTTCTTCTAAAGTCATTACAAGGAAAATATATTGTAGAACTTCCCGCCTGTAAATATAAGAAAAAAGAAATACACATTGTACCGGTATTTTCCTTCTTCAGGTTTTTCTATACCCTTAGTTTCTCAACCTGAATCCAATCCTCCCCATATTACTCCTATAAGAAAAACCTAAATCTGGGCCCCCATGAATAAAAAAAAAAAAATTCAAAGCATTTTCTTCTGGATAATTAAGTGAAATAACTATGTATCCCAAGTTTGAATAAGGTCCATTTATCCGTGTAGAAACATATGCCGTACAGACATATTTTCACATGTATATAGGAGATAAATTTATAACAGAAAGATGTATGAATGAACCTTTGAAATTTATTTATTGAAAGTCACAATTTACAATATGATGAATACTGGTTAGACGTTCAATGAACTGAAGTTTCTTAAAATGGTTCAATATTAATATGTATTGACATATGTTAAAAGAATATGATTGCATTAAACCTAATCTTTTGTTACTTTTAGAATACATGTATGCTTTTAATGTACACCTTTTTGCACCATTTCTTTGTTTTGTCTTCAAAGGAGGCATAAGATTGCAAACAGTCAGATATCAAAGTGGAAATGTGTGTGGCATAATGAGAGTTGATTTTAGGATTGAAGTTTCTATATAATTATTTACTTTGTAACTTAATTGTAGTTTGGACTTCAATAAATAATTTCTATTTTGCCAACTTTAAAAAAAAAAATTCTTTACATTGAGTATCTGTAATCCATAAGATAATGTATTTAGTTTTTTTTTTTTTTTTTTTTTTTTTTAATTTTTTTTTTAATTTTTTTTTTGTTTTTTTTTTTTTTTTGTTAGTTAATATTTTTTTCAACTTGTTTGTAGTTGTAGTCATATTGAAATGTTAGTGTATACATAAAAAGGATGATAATGCTGTATATTCTGTACAAATCTTACTTAATGTAAATTTAAAATGGCAGCAGCTGAAAAGCAATTAGTGTTATTGTTCTGTCATTCTGTGAAACATCTTCACTAGGCTCACCAAGGAAATGATTCTGTAAATAAAGTTTGATGTTAAAATAGATTTCATATTGTGTGGTCTTGTTTAAGTTATTGGAATATTTAAAACTTCGATTTAAAAAGTATGGAATTTGCTAAATCTTGCCAATAGCTTTATTCGAGAAATCTTGTTAATTCATTCAGTTCTCGTTTGCTGATAGGAGTGACCGGGGCTTGAGGTAGCAGCCTCATGTGTTTATATGTACTTGAAGTGGCAGCCTTGTGTGCTGACAGGTGTTTGAGGTAGCCGCGTCATGTGTTGATAGGTACCTGAGGTAGCAGCCCTGTGTGCTGATAGGTGCTTGGGGTAGCAGCTCTGTGTGCTGATAGGTGCATGGGGTAGCAGCCCTGAGTGCTGATAGGTGCTTGGGGTAGCAGCCCTGTGTGCTGATTAGGTGCTTGGTGTGGCAGCCCTGAGTGCTAATAGGTGCTTGGGGTAGCAGCCCTGTGTGCTGATTAGGTGCTTGGTGTGGCAGCCCTGTGTGCTGATAGGTACTTGAGGTAGGAGCCTTTTGTGCTGACAGTTGCTTGGGGTAGCAGCCCTGAGTGCTGATAGTTGCTTGGGGTAGCAGCCCTGTGTTCTGATAGGTACTTGAGGTAGGAGCCTTTTTGTGCTGACAGTTGCTTGGGGTAGCAGCCCTGAGTGCTGATAGGTGCTTGGGGTAGGAGCCTTTTGTGCTGACAGTTGCTTGGGGTAGCAGCCCTGTGTGCTGATAGGTACTTGAGGTAGGAGCCTTTTGTGCTGACAGTTGCTTGGGGTAGCAGCCCTGTGTGCTGATAGGTACTTGAGGTAGGAGCCTTTTGTGCTGACAGTTGCTTGGGGTAGCCGCCCTGTGTGCTGATAGGTACTTGAGGTAGGAGCCTTTTGTGCTGACAGTTGCTTGGGGTAGCAGCCCTGTGTGCTGATAGGTACTTGAGGTAGTAGCCTTTTGTGCTCACAGTTGCTTGGGGTAGCAGCCCTGTGTTCTGATAGGTACTTGAGGTAGGAGCCTTTTGTGCTGACAGTTGCTTGGGGTAGCAGCCCTGAGTGCTGATAGTTGCTTGGGGTAGCAGCCCTGTGTGCTGATAGGTGCTTGGGGTAGGAGCCTTTTGTGCTGACAGTTGCTTGGGGTAGCAGCCCTGAGTGCTGATAGGTGCTTGGGGTAGGAGCCTTTTGTGCTGACAGTTGCTTGGGGTAGCAGCCCTGTGTGCTGATAGGTACTTGAGGTAGGAGCCTTTTGTGCTGACAGTTGCTTGGGGTAGCAGCCCTGTGTGCTGATAGGTACTTGAGGTAGGAGCCTTTTGTGCTGACAGTTGCTTGGGGTAGCAGCCCTGTGTGCTGATAGGTACTTGAGGTAGGAGCCTTTTGTGCTGACAGTTGCTTGGGGTAGCAGCCCTGTGTGCTGATAGGTACTTGAGGTAGGAGCCTTTTGTGCTGACAGTTGCTTGGGGTAGCAGCCCTGTGTGCTGATAGGTACTTGAGGTAGGAGCCTTTTGTGCTGACAGTTGCTTGGGGTAGCAGCCCTGTGTGCTGATAGGTACTTGAGGTAGGAGCCTTTTGTGCTGACAGTTGCTTGGGGTAGCAGCCCTGTGTGCTGATAGGTACTTGAGGTAGGAGCCTTTTGTGCTGACAGTTGCTTGGGGTAGCAGCCCTGTGTGCTGATAGGTACTTGAGGTAGGAGCCTTTTGTGCTGACAGTTGCTTGGGGTAGCAGCCCTGTGTGCTGATAGGTACTTGAGGTAGGAGCCTTTTGTGCTGACAGTTGCTTGGGGTAGCAGCCCTGTGTGCTGATAGGTACTTGAGGTAGGAGCCTTTTGTGCTGACAGTTGCTTGGGGTAGCAGCCCTGTGTGCTGATAGGTACTTGAGGTAGGAGCCTTTTGTGCTGACAGTTGCTTGGGGTAGCAGCCCTGTGTGCTGATAGGTACTTGAGGTAGGAGCCTTTTGTGCTGACAGTTGCTTGGGGTAGCAGCCCTGTGTGCTGATAGGTACTTGAGGTAGGAGCCTTTTGTGCTGACAGTTGCTTGGGGTAGCAGCCCTGTGTGCTGACAGTTGCTTGGGGTAGCAGCCCTGTGTGCTGACAGTTGCTTGGGGTAGCAGCCCTGTGTGCTGACAGTTGCTTGGGGTAGCAGCCCTGTGTGCTGACAGTTGCTTGGGGTAGCAGCCCTGAGTGCTGACAGTTGCTTGGGGTAGCAGCCCTGTGTGCTGACAGTTGCTTGGGGTAGCAGCCCTGAGTGCTGACAGTTGCTTGGGGTAGCAGCCCTGAGTGCTGACAGTTGCTTGGGGTAGCAGCCCTGTGTGCTGACAGTTGCTTAATACTTGGCAATGTCAGAAACATAAAGGCCATTGGATCTCTCCTTTTTATTTTCTTTTGGGGTTGACTCCCTTTAGCCTTTAACCATCAGTTTCCTTCTAGATGCAGCGGTGTGCTGCCAATAAGCAACAACAACATGGCTCGGTGCTTGTCGGTTATAGAAAAAAAAAGGTCAATTTATTTGTGTCTTTTTATGTTGTTTTTATTATTTTAAAAAAACATGTTTTCACACTCTAATTTTTATTTGCTATGAAAGTCTGATTCATGATGCACATTCGGAGTAAGGTGTTTGAGGCTCTGGGTATAGTCGACGTAGAGACACTTGCCCTTTCTATAGTGACAGTTCTTTGTAGTGTAGAATGCTCGGCTCGGGCGCCTTACAAACCCCTGTGGGCTAAAGGACTGAACATGTATTACGCTACTGTGACAATTATAGAGAAGACGAAATAAAACGTGTTTCAATAACCCCTTCAAAGTTCGCCATCAATTAAAAAAACAAACAAACAAACAAACAGAATGCCATACCACTTCTTTATCCATTTGGACATGATCTGAATATAAAAATGTGAGCGCGTTTTTTTTGGTGACGACATAACTTGACATAAGTGACAAGCTCCGATACGTCGTATCGGCTTCATTAACAAAAAAAAAATCATTTTCTAATGAAGAAGTTTAAACAAATGGTTATATAATTGTTTAAATATTTTTAAAAAAATCAACATTACTATTTAGTAACAACTAAATATAAAGGATTTGCTTAACCCCCCCCCCCCCCCCCCCCCCCCCCCCCAGAGAACACCAGCTTGGCTTGTGGTACGCTGATTCAGTTACCTTTGATATCATAAGATGTGATGTGATATACTGAGATGTGATGTGATGTGATATGCTGAGATATGATGCGATGTGATGTGTTATGCTGAGAANGTTTCCGCCACCCCCCCCCCTCAACCAAGACCAAGGACGTCATTTCCCTTTTTTTTTTTTAAAGGGTTTGGGGGGGGGGAGCAAAACCAAAACTTGGCCGGCTTTTTTTATTTGTTTATTACTGGAGGCGCCACAGTACATAGCAATTTAAATAAAACCTGCGAATTCAGGGGGGGTGGGAATCCCCCCCCCTCCGCCATGCCCAAATGACGTCCCTGTCCCTCACCCCCTTTTGATTCCGCCGATACAAGTGACGTAGCCTACCTGAACTTTTATATACCTCGAAATAAGTCAAACCTTTATGATCGAAGCAAAAGTGGTGCTATTACTATTAGCAATATCAAGCTTGGTCAGTATTAAAAATAATCCCGGGACGAGTTAGCGCACAAGTCTAGTAAGTAGGAGAGTCATGGACAGCGCTATTTCCATGTTTCACTGTACCAACAAACCCCCCCCCCCCACTATATATTATGTGTAGTGTTTTGGGGGGTGGCAAA